TTTTATTCTCATAATGTTACGATTTTATTCTCGTAATGTTACAACTTTATTCTCGTGATGTTACGATTTTATTCTCATAATGTTACGATTTTATTCTCGTAATGTTACAACTTTATTCTCGTAATGTTACAACTGTATTCTCGTAATGTTACGATTTTATTCTCGTAATGTTACAACTTTATTCTCGTAATGTTACGATTTTATTCTTGTAATGTTACGAATTTATTCTCGAAATGTTACAACTTTATTCTTGTAATGCTACGATTTTATTCTCGTAATGTTACAACTTTATTCTCGTAATGTTACAATTTTATTCTCGTAATGTTACAACTTTATTTTCGTAATGTTACGATTTTATTCTCGCAATGTTACAACTTTATTCTCGTAATGTTATGATTTTATTCTCGTAATGTTACAACTTTATTCTCGTAATGTTACAACTTTATTCTCGTAATTTTACGACTTTATTCCCGAAATAGTAGAAAAAAATCTCTAGCCTCTAGTACGTCGTAATCTATCCCTTCAGACTAAAGGGATACACGAGGTAGTTTAAAGTGTATTTTTCTACAAAAATAAAGGGATAAATGAGGGTAAACTAAAAGGATAAACAGGTATTGACTATGGGCAGGCTGGTCTGACTGGGTATGACGATGTGACAGAACACCGGATCTTGTTACATCTGTTTAAACCAGGAAGGATTTTATTGTCATCTATATTCTGTAAACAGACTTTTAAAGCTGTGTGGTTTTAAGGCATCATGAAGATCTCTGTATCATTCACAGGTATGAATTTGGGACGGCCTTGTACGTTGGATGGGGGTCAGCCTGTCTGTGCCTTATAGGTGGGGGCTTCCTCTGCTGCAACTGTTCAGGGAATAGCAGCTCTGGGAAAACCATGCACTACACATCAGCCGGCGCTGCAGGGGACCGGAACTACGTGTAGGAGGACAGGCTCTGTCCAGCGTTTAGTCAGAGCCTTTACAAAGCAGGGAATATACAGATCTGTGTTAATAATCACCAGCATGTTATATTTTTCATCTCTTTCTCTAAAGATTAATAATATCCAGTGGCATTTTGTAGTTCTTAAAGTGTGCATAAAAACAACTGGCATCACCTTTTTATTGTGTCCTTTTTATAGCTGATGTAAATGTGATCAACTTTATCAGGAATTTGTTTTATATTGATCTATATTGTTTTTAATTTGTTATTAATAATCCAATTAAAGCTAAATGATAATGTTTCTTGATGTATAGGTTTGTTTTAATGTAGGTAAGATCTGTCCCTGCAGAAAAGAAACTTTAAAACAATGTTTATTAAACTCTATCCGTTGTTACCCGATCCGTACCACAACCCCAACCCCTTTACAGGAGAACAGAAGACCTCTCCTATTCAACCAG